TATTCATTTATTCAGTGAATAAATCTTCCAGATCATGAAAAATATTCCCAAGTAGATGTGAATAAAATAAGTCTTTGGCTTTCCTTCTAGTTATCCTTTGATTGTGTTTTTTGAGTTACAGAGAAAAATGCTGGAAGACAGCTCTGTTCCTTGGGATAAAATCTAGGGATCCTATGAATCTGAGAAAACTTACTATGCCTTTCTGGTGGGTCAGAGATAGTATACTAGAGCCAGATTTAATGGTATAAATAAGAGGGATTGACACCTCCCGTTTCTGGAATTAACTTAGTTGTCAGAGAAATATCAATAAATTTTTAAAAACAGCTCTCATCACATACAAAACTTTGCTGAATTCCAATTACTTACAGAATAAAGCCAAAACTCCTTAATAGGGAATTCAAAAGCCTTAACAATCTGATCACCACCTAGCTGTCCAGTTTTGAGTATTATCACTGTCATCTCTACATGTACATTCACACACTCACATGTGATCATGCACACTAGAATCTAGAAACCCTGATTCACTCAATGAACTGGCTACTTCAGGAACTCTATATCTGCTCACTTCCACCTGAAAAGGTCTCCCCTATCTCCTTTTCTATGTGACAAAATCCTACACTTCCTTGAACACCAAGTTCTAGTGTCTGTAAGAGCCTTCCCCAGTCTACTTATTCAGAAGTGACATCTTTTCCTTCTGTTCCCTGTAGACTTTCTTACAGGATCTCCAGTATAACCTAATGAAGCACAAAATTCAGTTAGCTGTGTACAGATGTGCCTCCCCCGGTAGACAGGGTCCACGTCTGAGTCACCTTTGGATTTTAAGGGATCAGAAAATCTTTATGAAGTGTAATAGGTTTTGGGCTTCTCTTGATATTAGCAGTGTGGGTGGGCTTTATGCACAGTAACTGTTTAGAATCTTGAATTTAGAAATACAAACCCAGGGGCTTTTTAAAAATCATAGGATGTATCTTACTTCCCCAAATTTATCTTTTTGAAATAAAACGTTTAGCTTCATTGTCACTTCTGTCATCCTTTTATCTTAGAAGCCTGGGTTCAAAAATTCCTCCTTTAGCCCAAAGAAATCAAAAA